AGGTTTTGCAATGAGCAAAATTAGACAGAATTTGAAGTTTTGTGTGATAGCTACAGGTGGTATTTCCTCCCATCCCTCATATGTGAGCCTGAAGCATATATGTTAAAGAATTTCATCAGAGTGAATAAAGGCACAACACAGGAAGCATGTGCTGTGTAGAGGCAGGGAGTAAATTACAAATGGTTCACTGTGGCAAGAGCAGTTGTACTACTTCATTCCTTAGGTTATTTCCTTGGCTTAAGACTCTTTGGATATTTTTGGTTATTTCCTTGGCTTAAAACTCTTTGAACATCTGATGAAGAGGTACCACCAAGTAATAGGCACAAATAGTTCTACATGTGAACTAGTTTGGGGGTGGGTGTTGAGTAGGCAAGGGAGAGTGGTTCCATATTCCAAGAGAGCAGTTGCTTTCTAGCTGTGCTATTAAAGGAAGCGCTGTGGGTTCCATGGCTGGAACAGGGGACTGATCGTTTACTTGGTCTGCATGTCAGGTGTTGGTCTAGCCATTTTGTTGGTCAAGATTAGTGTTCTCCCTGTGCCAAAACGAGACAGAAGTCGCCTTCTTGCGACCTGCAGCTCTGTCCACGGCCGTGCCCTTTGAGCAGCTCCTGTGACTGTAGTTGTTTTTTTGTTTTTTTTTCTCCAGGATGTGGTGAGAAAGTGGCCCGATCAGAGAGCGTGACATCTTCTAATCCCAGCCCACACACTGATGCCAAAGTATCTGTGTTCTTTCTCCGGAGCACTGTGTTCTCCCACCAGCAGTCGCTAAGCTGGCAAACATGCGGGTTTTTTGCAGTAACATTTGGAATATGCGTTTTTATTTTCCAGTTGAGATTTCTAGTGTTTATATTTTGAAGGTCAGAGGTGATGTCACGGGCTTAGTCATCAGCTGTGTGTGTACCACTGAGTGTGTACCTCTCTCCAGTCAGCACCTGCTTTTAACATCAGCACGTGGACGAGGAGTTCCTAGGCCTTTTATGCAGATAAATGCAGTGAAAATCCATATCAGAGCAAGCACAGAACTTACCTGAAAATATGCTACTCTCCATCATTCCCACAAGAGGTCAGGCAAGGAACTTCAATAATGAATGAAAATAGTGAGTAAATTGTTCAGTGAATTATAGTGATTTGCTTGTTTGTAAGCATTCCCTCCCTAGAAGCCCACCTTTCTGTCTTTTTTGCTTCTTCCCCTCCCCCAGCCTCTCCCTTGCTTCCCTTCCCTTCTCCTTCCCCACCCCTTTCTTTCTTACTTTCTCATTTTAATATCTTCATAACCCAGAAGACTCTTTATTTGGAAATGAAGGTGAAGGGTTATTAACCAGAAAATTTCTGATACTGTTTTCTACTCAAAGTAAAATGTAAATATATAGGCTTCAGTCATCATTCATTGGCCATTTACATCTATAGAGAGGACTCGGATGGACTAGAGATTGAGATTTAAGAAAGCAGGGGTACAAAATGACTATTCTTTTGGCAACACTTAAATAAACTGCTGTCTTTGCATGGAGCAGTTAACACTATACTTATTCTTTAAGACAATTTATTAGGAACTCTTGCAGCTGGTAAGTGGCCAAACCGAGACACAAAACCGTGCAGCCTGACTCCAGACCCTGTGGCCCAGGATCAGAGCCCAGGATAGGCTAATGCAGAGCACTGTATGGTAACCGTATAGATGAGGAAAATGAAAGGTGCTGAGAGGGAGGTACACATTCAGTGGTAAGCAAACAGCTGATGACTAAGACCATGACAGGTGAGTAGGCGGCATCTGTATTAGCCTTGAGGGTCGATTTTGAATGTGGCGATCAGGAGTAAGTTTTCCTTATAGTGGATATGAGGTGAATAGATGCTGGGGCTGGAAAGCAGGCTGAGAAAATACGTAGTCTACTGTAGCTGGAGAAGGGGATCTGCATGGGCTGCAGCCAGGTTTTGCCAGCCCATTTCACAAGCATTTGGGATAAAGAAGGGAGGGTTTGACCAGCTTTGTGACAAGAGCCCTAGAAGGCACAACTTAGAAAGGCAATAGTTTGAGGGAAGGAATGCTAGAAGCAGGAAGAATAATTAGGAGGCTGTATTTGGTTTCTATTGAAGTATAACAATATTACCACAAACTTGGCAGCTTAAAATGGCACAAGTATTATGTCACTGTTTCTGCGTCAGGAGTCCAGGCACTGCTTAACTAGGTTCTCGGGCGTCGAGTCTTGTAATTGACGTGTTCGCTGAGGCTGTTTCATCTGAGGCTCCAGAGGGAAGGATTGGCTTCTGTTGGCAGAATTCAGGAACGTTTATACAGGACCTCAGTCTCCTGCTGGCTGTTCACCGTGGCTGTCTCGGCTCCTGCAGACTCGGTTTCCCCGTGAGCATCGCCACATTGGGATCCACACATGGGGGCCTGCCTTTTCAGTGCCAGCAAGGAAGTGAGACACTTCAGCTAAACTATAACCCCACGTATTTAATCACTTGTGTCCTGTCACTTTTCCACATTCTGTGAGAAGTCACAGGTCACTCCCACACTCAAGGGGAGAGGACTATCTGAGTCCGTGAACATCAGAAAACAGATCTTAGAGAGGCTGCTCTGGTGACAGACAAATGTAGTTGATGACACACTCAGGAGTCTGAACTGAGGTGATATTAATGCAAATAGAAAGACTTAGATTCAACAATTGTCTCTGGCCAGGCTGGTGTGGTTCAGTAGTTAAGTGTTGACCTATGAACCAGGAGGTCAGGGTTCCATTCCTGGTCAGAGGGCATATGCCCGGGTTGTGGGTTTGATTTCCAGTGTGGAGTGTGCAGGAGGCAGCTGATCAATGATTCTGACTCTTCCTTCCTCTCTGAAATCAATAAAGACTTATTTTTTAAAAAAAATTATGTCTGAGAAGTAGAATGATTTCTTCCTGTACCACATGAAGTTCTTTGTATACCTTATCTCATGTAAACCTCAAAGTATCTCTTTGAGATAGGTACCAGGAGAATCATTAGTTCACAGATGAGGACCCAGGCTTTGTAAAGCTACTAAGCGTACTGGTTAATAATTTGGATTTTTTTTCAATAGATGGAGTTACACATATGTTGATATATATGGGGTTTGATATGTATGCTATTTTGTTGTATTGACAACAAGCCTCAAAACTTCATATGTCAAATTTGCTGATGGTGTTAACCATAGATATTTTCACACTTAAAGATGTCGAATTTCATGCCCAAGAAAAGCATTTGCGAGAAGTTTTTGAAGAAAAGTACTGCTGAATACTTCGGGAAGCTTATGGTGAAAATGCTTTATATCAAGATGCTTGTGAACACTGGTATAAATGCTTTAAAAGTGATAATTTCTATGTGAAAGACAAAGACATCCAGCTCAACCGAAAAAGTGTGAAGACCAACAATTACAAGCATTATTGGATAAAGATGCATGTCAAATTCAAAACCAACTTGCAGAAAGATTAAATGATGCTCAGCAAACAATTTCTGATCATTTACAAGCAATGGGAAAGATTTTGAAGGAAAATGGGTGCCACATCAACTGAATGAAAAACAAAGGGAAAACTGAAGTCATCAGTAAGATGTTGCTTCAACTGCACAAAAAAAAAGTCTTTTTTGCATCAAAATGTGACTGGCGATGAAAAGTGGATTTATTTTGAAAATCCCAAATGCACAAAATCAAGGGTTGATCCAGGTCAACCGTCAACATCGACTGAAGGCCAAATCGCTTTGGAAAGAAGACAATGTTCTGTGTTTGGTGGGATCAGGAAGGTGTGGTGTATTATGAGCTTCTAAAACCAGGTGAAACCATTAATACTGGTCACTACTGACAACAAATAATCAATTTGAACCACGCTTTGATCATGAAATGACCAGAATGTGCCAGGAGACACAGCAAAGTAATTTTGCTTCTTGATGACACACCACCACACACTTCAAAACCAGTTAAAGACACGTTAAAAGATCTTGCCTGGGAAGTATTAACACACCCAATGTATTCACCAGACCTTGCTCCTTCAGATTACCACTTGTTCCTATCGATGGCACACGCACTTTCTGAGAAGTAGTTCAAAACATATATAGAATTGGAAAATTGAGTCTCTGAATGGTTTGCCTCAAAACAAGAAAAGTTCTATTGCAGTGGTTCTCAACCTTTCTAATGCCTTGACCATTTAATACAGTTCCTCATGTTGCGGTGACCCCCAACCATAAAATTATTTTCGTTGCTACTTCATAACTGTAATTTTGCTACTGTTAATGAATTGTAATGTAAATATCTGTGCTTCCTGGTGGTCTTAGGCCCCTCAGCAGCAGTTCTCAACTGGTTGGGGGTCACCACAACATAAGAAAATGTATTAAAGTGTTGTGGCATTAGAAAGGTTGAGAACCACTGTTGCATTGGAATGGTACCCACAAATTACCTGAAAGAAGGGGAAATGTGTAGCTAGTGATGGATGTTACTTTGAATAAAGCACTTTTGATGTTTCTCTTAAAATTATGTTTTCTTTGATTACAAAACCCGCTATTATTAACCTAGTAAGTGCTTATATCACATACATCCTAGCTTCAAGTCTGGGGTCTCAACCTAGATTTGAACATAAGATGTCAGTCCCAGAGCTCAAATTCTTAGCTATTTTTCTTTACTTGGACTTAAAAAGTATAGAGGATTTAAACACAGATGGATACCTTTTCATGTACCTACTGGCCATCCGTATGTCTTCTTTGTAAAGTGCATATTTGAATCCTCTGCCCATTTTTTAATTGGATTGTTCGGGGGTGTTTTTTTTCTGAGTTGTATGCACAGAGTATTTTTATGTCTTGCTCTTGAATTATATTTACTTCTAAAACTTCTATGTGAGTTTGCATATCTAATATTTAAATCTTTTATTTTTCAAGAAAAACATTGAACCTTCTTCTTTAATTATATTAAGGAACTTCCAACTATGTCCTAGGTGATGACATTAGATTTCTACAACTATGTCCTAAAACACTTAGTTAAATATTTATATTGCATTATTTTTCAGGTGTGAAAATGAAACCAGATTCAAAACAGAAGAAGTATTTTGGGCATATAATTTCTGCCCGACTCCATATTCTTGGACTGCACTTCTGGGCCTTATTTTATATCTCGTTTTCTTTGCACCGGGTAAGCAAGCCTTCATTGTTATTGTGTTGATTAAATTGTTCTTAGAGGAGACAAGCTACCTTGTAAAAAAATTCCTTACATACTGCTTTCCTGAAATTTAAAAATTTGTATTTCTCAGGAATGGGGCCGATGCCTTGGACTGTGAATTCTGAAATATATCCCCTTTGGGCAAGAAGTACAGGAAATGCATGTTCATCTGGAATAAATTGGATTTTCAACGTTCTGGTTTCACTGACATTTTTACACACAGCAGAGTATCTTACGTATTATGGTAAGAGGGTTTTATTTCCTACTCTATTTTTAGATATGTTATCATTTGTGATTGAAAGGCTATATTGTTATATTTCTGTGATGTGTTCTTGTTCTCCCAAGTCACTGGAAATGCATGTGGGGACAGGTGAGAGGAGCTGTCCTGTCCCAAGCAGCACCGCTTATAGTCCCTCAGGGCTATACAGCTCCACCCACCTTCCCAGCCCAAACGTCTCCCAGCTGTCCCCGTTGGAAATCTCCACAACATGGCTTTGTTTCCTGCAGAAACATAACAGAGAATGGTAGCAAGATGTGGGCAGGGAGTCCAGGCTAATGCCTGAAGATGGCCCAGGACAGGAACAGAGTCATGTCCCGGAGTAGAATGTGGGTAGAGCTGAAAGCAGCCTCCCACTGGATCACTCTGCTCTCAGGCCGGAGCACGGGTATATCCGTGTCCACAGAGACCAGCACTCACACTGCCAAGTCTGCGAATGTGTCCAAAGTGTTCAAGTAAAAATGTGTGGGGACTGTAACTCAAATATTGGGAAGTGACTGAGTTAGGGGAAGACTTTGGGAAGGTACTTCAGGTCCATTTTTACTAAAGTGAAGAAACTGTCTTCAGCAAGAGGATTTCTTCACTGTGTGTTCACAAGTTGTACTAGGATTGTGAAGCATAAAATAGGTTTTCAGTGTAATCTCACAAGCCTCTGTGGTGAATATGGAAGGCCTACTGCTTAGACCATTCTCTGATCATTTCCCCATCACTCACCGCATCCCATGCTCTGGACCAGCGGTGGCCAACTGGTGGTCTGCGTGTGAGGTTGGAAAGGTTGGCGACCGCTGGTTTAAGGAAATCTTTGGGGCAGCAGTCACCAACCGGTAGCGTCCGCTGCTCTGGACACATTCCTTTTTGCAAGGACAGGTTAACTTGCCCATCCCACATCCCCAGCCATAAATTCCTTGAGGTCAGGCCAGGACTAGGCCTTGTTCACCATTATATCCCCAATACCTTCCAAGGCATCTTATTCATTTGATAAGCCTCAGAAGTGCTGCTTGAATGACTAAATGCAGAGATGAATTTTGTAGATGAGAATAAGAAACATAAAAATATATTCCTCCTCTCTTCTAAACATGCTGAATTACTATTTAATCTTATCTTTATAAAACTCTTCTCTCTCCCAATCACCATTTAGAAATATGTTTTTGAAAAGGAAATACACAGGCATTTCAAATGGGGTATATATATTAAGTATATTCCACTTTATCCCATTTGGCAATTAAAATTTTCCAAAGTTCATAATCTTATCTTCCTGGCACAATAAATATTTACCCATATTTGCTGATTCTTTAGAATGCTTAAATATTTGAAGACCTAAATGTAAACTAAGAGAGAGCATTTTTTATAGAAAGGATAGACCAAATAAAAGTCTACACAGTAAGACTTTTGATCACAAAGCTCTGCTTCCTTGAACTGATGCTTCCAAGAGAACATGAGGCAACAGAAGTAAACTTTAAATGGGACATAACCAGAATTCTTTCAAATATCTGGTTAGCAGAGCTCTCTGCTTTTTGCATTAAGTTGAGCTTCTATCAGGTGAGCGCACTGGTCTGTTCAGTCTGCTGCTGGCTAACAGAACAACAGTTCAGGTGAGTTCTTCCTATTTGTTGATCTACATTTTAATCTACATGTTAACATTCCTGATTTAACAGATACATACCACAGTGATGTATGTCTCTGAAAATACCAGGACTTCTCATTTCCTCCCTTTTTTGTTTCATACCTCAAATTTTGATTCCTTCCCAAACTGTACTGCTTAGTCTTCCTTGGACCCCATCCAGCAATGTTTATTACTAAAAATTATCATTAAAAATGTCACCAATATTTCATTTTATGTGTAGCATGTGTGACTAAGCCTATCCCTTGGAGAGTATTACAATCAGACATGGTCTTTGATTCCTCATTTTCTGTAATTCAATTAAATAGTTATTTTAATTTGAAACTTAATATAGGACTCTAATAAAATTGATTTTCTTCATAATCAAGCTGCAGAATATCTGCACCGTTTAACAGTCCTGGCAGATTGGGTGCAGACTTTTTATTTACATTACGATAGTTACATAACTGATATTCCCATTACATGGACCAGATCTCAGCCTCCTGAGCCTCCCACACCTCTCCTTTAACCTCAGGTCTCACCACTTCCGCACCTTTGGCATTTGACTGCTTAGGATTCCTCAAATCTTATAAAAGGATCTTGTATTTCAATAGAGCTTCCTTGATATTATTTGCTTCAGGAATTTTCCCAAATTGTTTTAGTGCTGACAGATTTGATTAGTCATTTCTAATCATGCCACGACTCCTAAATTGTGAGAGATGATGAATATTTCCTCAATATTACATTTTATAAAGCCAAACTAGATTGGCTCTGTTACAGGAGTTCAGCAGCCTGGTTTAATTTAAAATACTTCATATGTTTCTATATCACCAGCATCATGATCACCATCCTTTTTTGTCCCTCTCCACTAAAGATTCTATTCTTAACTCCACAATTTTGATTATCTGTAATCAAAACACAGGATTTCATCTCCTTTCTCAAAAAGCTAGCTTGCTAGTATCACCTTTTTAATGAAAACATTTCCAACTCATTAGTCATACTAAATCTTATTCTATTCTCTAACAGCCACTCTTTTTCCCTTGTCACTTATAGAATTTAGTAATCTACCACTGTTTTGAGCAACTAACATCCAAAATTCTAATATGCATGTAATATACATTGTTTCTATTACTTTTTTAAATTTCACTTTAGTTGATAAACAATATTATATACTAAGTTATATTAGTTTCAGATGCACAATATAGTGATTCAACATTTTTATCCCTTACAGTGTGATCACCCCACTAATTCTAATAATCATCTTTTACATTTTAATATTATTGGCTGTATTCCCTTTTCACCCATCTCTGTACCCCTCCCTTCTGGTCCATCTTTCGATCTCTGTTTCTATAAATCTGCTTTTATTTTGTTGTCTGTAGTTTTTTAGATTCCACATATAAGTGAAACTATATGTATTTGTATTTCTCTGCTTAACTTCACTTAGCATAGATCTATCCATGTGGATTTTCAACTGCAAAGGGTTCCTAATCCTGCCTTGTTCAGGCATCAACCGAATATCATTTTGCCTCAGTTCTAAGAACCTACTGATGATGTTACGTGAGGACTTACTGTACATTATTTCCCATCACAGGAGCCTTCTTCCTCTATGCTGGATTCGCTGCTGTGGGACTCCTTTTCATCTATGGCTGTCTTCCTGAGACCAAAGGGAAAAAATTAGAGGAAATTGAATCCCTCTTTGACAACAGGCTCTGCACATGTGGCACTACCGATTCTGATGAAGGGAGATATATTGAATATATTAGGGTAAAGGGAAGCAACTATCATCTTTCTGACAATGATGCTTCTGATGTGGAGTAATTTTCAACTGCTGATATATATGTGGTTATTAAACAAACTTGGGAGGAAAAAGCAGCAATTGGTGACCTCACTGCCCTGCTTCTAATCTAGTTCTTTCCACAGTCCAGTTTTGATGACTTCTTATTCTAAAATCCTTGATTAGGAGGAAGATACAATCATGTTGACACTTTTTTTCCTAAGTAGAAATGTAAAAAATATATATATATATTTACAGAGATTTTAAAATAATAACCATTGAACAAATATGTGTAATTCCTTTCTGAGATAGACTAAATGAATATTGTATTCAGTGATTTCAGTGGTATCCTTTTTTCCTAAGACCATATGTAACTATTAGTGGCAATGAAGTCAGTGCTAATCTAGCTGAATCGTATATGTGATATAAAGAAGCATTCTAGGATATGGTCTAAAATGTTTTCTATCAAAATCTGGCCTATTGGCCCTAAATTTTCCAAGGATAAGTATGTTATCTATGGTCAGCTATTAGACAGTAAATTCCATTAAGCTTTCATCAACAAAGTCAAGTGCCTCCTACATGGGCACAGCTGTCTTATCTCCTTTGGATTCCACATTTTGGTTTCTCTCTCCAAGACAGATATTGAGAATTCTTCAGAAGTTGACTCCAGACAGGATCTTTTGAGCATTATGAAAAGCAGGTCTTTAGGGGTATATTTTCATACATATTTTTTGCATCAGTGATAGTGTACATTTGCACAGATAAGCTAGCAAGTTTTGATAAGTATATTTTATTGCTAGAAAAGTCAGAAAGAAAAGATTTATATGGATCCCTAATTGAGTTAGTCACTTAGGTATGGAACTATAAGTATAAATAGCACTAGATCTGCAACTGCATTTCAGAGCCGGTTTTTGTACAAGCCAAATCACTTGATACTCACCACACCTTTGCACATCAATTCTTGAGTTCTATTTGTGCCTTCATTTGTGTTATATAAATAGCTGCTATCAAATTATTTCTCCCTTCTTTTATTCAAATAATTTCTGAAACAAAAAAGGAAGAAAACCAGTGACAAATACTCCTGCTATTGTTGCTATTTAAATAGTGGGACTTATTTTAACTTATTAATCTTCCTAAGGGAATTGTCATTTTTTTAACTTAGTAGTATTTGTTTTGTTTTTTTACTATAAAAGCATAAAGTTGTTTTTATTTTGCACACCCTTTCTCATTTCCCCTATTTACATCTTCCACTGTCCCCCAAAAAACAACATGTAGATTTGTCTGTGGATGTTTCCTTTTACTCGTGCTTGAATTTTTTTTTCCTTCTTGTTTAAAAATTGTGATTTACTATTAGAATAGATTAATGGTTCTCACATAACACACATTTTTGAGAAAGTTTGACTTTCTGAACTTCTACAATGTCTTTTCAAAGTGCTTATTGGTTTTTATGTTCCTTCATCGATGAACTTTAATTTTTGTTCTTATATATTGAGAACTATCTAGTATATATAAAGTTACTTGCTAGTTCCAGTGAAATTATGAATGACTTTTCTTTGGCCAGTTATGAGTGCATAAGTTTGATGCATTTTAACATGGCTCTAACATCTAATAAGGTATTATTGGGAGTGAAAAGGTGGCTATCTCTAAATTCATTGTGTTTCTGCCAGTCTCCAAGATATTTTTTCTTTAAGTCTGGTTTGTTCACATCACAATGTCAAAGCTGAGAATGTAGCCAAGAAGATTCATTCTCTAAGTCACCAAGAGTGTGATATGTGCTTTGTGATATGTCACTTTACTGGTAAAAATTTTCTTGCTTTGATCATTGTATATAATAAAACATTTATTTTACAGAGTTTTTTCCTTGAATTTTAGGAGGTGCTTTCACAATTGATTTCTAAGTGGATATTAATATTAATTTGCCCCTTAAGAGATATGATTTCATAGAGAAAATTATTATTCTGATATTTCTTATCTGTGTTATTCAATTGATATTTCTTATCTGTGTAATATTTCATAAGGTAAAGTGAAATGTAAAAGGAAGAGTCTGTTGTATATTAAAATCAAAATATGATGGGGAGAAAAAATATTTAGACCAAAAAAGTACTCACCTTAATAATTTTTCTGATTTACCCAAATAATTGCCTCAGTTCTTCTCTTTATTATATATGTAGCCTTAACTCAGCTGGGCTGAATGCATAGTAACTTTATTCAAGGAGCAACTCAACTCTTATTTTTTTTTTTTTTTGTAAAGCAGAACATTGCCAGTTTCCCTGACATATGCAAATGGTATTTTCAACTTTGTTCCCATAAATGCACATTATAACAGGGAAATTTACCACAGTCCTATTCAACCTCTTCTTTAAATGACTATTGTTATTTATATAAAGATAATACTCCACATCTTTGAAGTACAGAACAGAGAGGCACAGTATAAGAGTTATTTATAATTTTTAAAAAAACAAATAACTACATCAAAAGGAACCTTATACAATTACGGATTATTTTTAGATTCTGTGAATATTTATATTAAAAATTTAATATTTGAATTTTGAAAGTTTTTTATATTTATTCACCTTTTAAGTTCTCAGCATTATTAGCTACCACTAGCAACTTGAAAACATTCTGTTTGAAATATTATCAAATATATATATTTTTAGGACAATTTATATATGGTTTAACCTAACATATTAAAACGCATTAAGCATCATTTATTTAACTGAAATTACAGGTCTGCTTCTAGACATACTGAAAGTTCAATAGATATATATTGAGTTTTAGGAAAACATAGTGAAGAAAGCTGTAACCCCTATTAAGGCTTATTAGCTGAATGGCTGATGAGATCTTCACTAGACTTGAGAAATAATAACTTTCCATCTGCATCTGAACACTTATGTCTGAAGGTGATGTCAGATAGGTTTTAAAGATATGATATTAATATTTTCTTCAATATAAACATTCCTGATAATTTTTATTGTTGCATCTTAGTCAATAATTACCAAGCACATGGTTTTAATGTATATGTAAAAGATCTAACTTTAGCCGAAACCGGTTTGGCTCAATGGATAGAGCTTCGACTTGGGAACTGAAAGGTTCCGGGTTCGATTCCAGTCAAGGGCATATACCTTGGTTGCGGGCATATCCCCAGTAGGGGGTGTGCAAGAGGCAGCTGATCGATGACTCTCTCTCATCGATGTTTCTAACTCTCTATCTCCTTTCCTCTCTGTACAAAAATCAATAAAATAAAATTAAAATTTTAAAAAGATATAACTTAAAATTAGATGTAAAATGTTTGAAATTTTGTTCTCCATCATATGCAGGAGTTAGTTCACTGGTGAAAATGCCATGAGGGTAATGCTATAAAGTGCTTTCTAATGCTTCATTTTACCACTAAATAAGATTAAGTATATGTAAATGAATATAAATATGTTTTTAAATAATTCATTCTAAAACAAGAAATCTGTTAAAGAATTTAGAAATTATTTACTCTAATTTCAACCAATTATCCAGATGAAGAATGAACAGGAAAAACTTAAGTTGACAACATCCTTTTTCTTCAAAAAGTATAATTAAAATTATAATAATCCATAGATTCAGGGAGAAGATATTCTAGAAAATGCTACCCATATGTTATCTAAGACAATCTGATGACACTAATATAGTTTATAAATACTGGAATACAGTGAAGGGACTGGAAGGATTGTTTTTGATTTATTTTTCCCCATAGGCACAGTAATTAACATTTGCGAGATATTTCTTTATAATCAGATCTTTAAACCATTCTCCTACATAAAATCTGAAATTATACTAAGCACCCAATAACTGACAATTGTTGTGACAAGTTTTAAACTACCAAATTCAGACCTTTTCACTTAACAACAAATACAAGAATAATATATCTGGCCAGGAGCAGAGAATTCATAATGTGTGCTTTATAACAAAATGTATTAAAATGTGGATAAAATTTTCAGCTCATGTGTGAAGTGCTGCCTCTAAAAAAAATTAGAATTTTTCTGTGGATTAATTTTAATGTCCTGTTTTCTGTCATGTTCTATTAATTTTCTTAGCCTCGTGTAATGTTAACCTAAGTGATTCAGGTTATAGCAGTGAATCAAAGATCAGTACATGCAGTCCTGGGTGGACAATCTTGCTGTTTTATAAAAATAGCATCATTTAAAAATGCCAATCAGCTAACTGCTATCAACTCTCTCATATATTGTCTCTTAGAGAACGAAATTTTTGTGTGCCAGTAATCAGGGAGATGTTTTGTAAGTACTAATCATGTTCATAAGTACATGAGAGAATTTTATCCAGATTTGCTTGTGAGTGTTAAACAACATAATTCCTATAAATTGTTACTTTGTACGTATAAAATACACTGCTGTACTTGAGTGATTTGGTCTGTGGAATGTTAAATACTTACCTTTATTTAGCAGTAATATTCAAATTTTTGTTTTAGACAGTTAAGTTCATGTGTTTGTCATATCAATACGAGAAAATGGAACCTATATGTACTTAAAAGGTATAAACTAGTATTTTGTAAAGTTTTAAAATGTTAGCAAGTTTTAACATTCAATTAGCATTCCATCTCATTTCAAGGTTAAAAAAAGATGAGACTGAACTCTAGCCAAAGTAGAAAATTTATATTCTACATGTCCAAGCTAGTTCTTAACAGCTTTTGGACTATATCTTACTTGATGTTATAATATCTTTTATTTATAATATTCAAATTTCTATTTAGAAGCTCTAATGTATATCTAGACTAAATCTAAACAGTTTTATGCTTTTAAAATATGTTTTTGAAGTATATATTTTATTTTCTGAGTGCATGTTATGAAGTGTTTAATATTCACATGTCTTTGCAAATCAAATATAAGTATTTATTCCTACATGTGACATATGAGATATGTCTTAAAAATTATGTATATGTACAATTTCCTTCAAAGTCATTCTAGCCTATAGCTGTATCAAAAGTATTGTATATTTTATGGAGATTTAGTGATGTATATGTAAATGTTTTTTAAGTTATTTTATTGAAGTTTATCTT